GTTTACATGTATATTGTATTTAATATAGAAGACTTAAGGCAATACTTCTTTTTGTATAACAATTTTCATTTATTTATTAACATAATTATGTTTTCATTTTATTATTAAAACTAAACCTAATATTGAAAAAAATTATAAACAAAACACATTACCAAAAAATGACACCTCAAAATAATGCGTACATTTTAAGTTTGCTGCGTACAGCGCTGGAATTTGTTAGTTGTTAGTATCTTGTAGGATACTTGTATATCTTATGGGGTCTGTCACTCCTCCTACTGCATATTACCACTAACCACAGAACACATAGACCGGACACGTAATGTAAGATTTTAATTGTAGATTCATATGTACTTTATAGGATTTCGATGTTGGTTAAAATTTACCCCCACCCTTATATCCACCCCCTTAAAATCATATTTGTAAAAGGCGTATTTTAAAAACTCAGTAAAACTAACAGTAAATCTGAAGTCTCCCAGTCTAAGACTGAAGTCTCCCAGTTATCTAAAAAATTTGATTAGCTTGTACTGCGTGTGGTATACACGTGTGTGCATGCCAAATTTCAGCTCTCTAGCTCTTATAACTTCTGAGATCTAGGCGCTCATACGTTCGGACGGACTGGGCTATATCGACTTAGCTCGTCGCCCTGATCAAGAATATATATACTTTATGGGGTCTGCGATGATTTCTTCTGCCTGTTATACTTTTCACAAAACTATTATACGCTGATTTCCCATTTTCAATGGATTCAGGGTATAATAATGCTGCATCGTACAAAGTGCATTCTAGCTCCGCATTTTTGCAACGATCTTGAGATGTTTTGAGAACTATAGAAGAAAATTAATGGTATCACGAGGGGAGGAAGGCTGTGACAAGATAATAGAGCTGTGTTGATTTAGCTCTGTTCGTCTGTCCGTCCGCCTTTCTGTCCGTATGTTTGAACACGTCGACCTCAGAAGATATAAGAGCTAGAGTCTTGAAATTTTTATTTCACTCCTTTCACTTTCAGGAATGAGTAAATTGGTTTTGTGAAATATCCGTCTGTCCGTATGAACGCAGTTTATTTCGGCACTTTGAATCTAGACACATGAAATTTGGAACATATACTCGTATTCAATTTCAGATCCGTCCCTAGGGGCGTGGCAAATCGGAAAAGTCTAAGAGCTTGAAGCTTCAGATTTGGAAAGTTGAGTTACTGGTAACCGCCTCAAATTTTGCATTTAGGTTAGCACACGCGCGCGAGTTGAGCGGCGTAACCCACACCTGCCCGCACCCAACCCGAAACTCGATTTTTCAGCCCATACCCACGGGTAACCGCGGGTACTAATGCTCGTGCAAAACGCTTTACTATACTTGTCCGGTCTATGTGTTCTGTGATTAGTGAAAAAGTCAAGTCTCTAGCTCTTATATCTTCTTAGATCGACGCGTTCAAACATACGGTCAGACGGACGGACAGACGGACGGACAGACAGACGGACAGATGTAAATCGACTCAGCTCGTCGCCCTGATCAAGAATATATATATTTTATGGGGTCTGCCACGCCTTCTTCTGTCTGTTACATACATTTACCAAAACCATTATACCCTGATTTCCCATTTTCAATGAGTTCAGGGTATAAAATAAATAAAAACAAAACTTTACTGCGGGTTCGAACCATCGCAATCTGCGCCCACAAGACGCGTGGCAAATCGACATTTGTAGCGCCCAACTATGCAATCTATATGCGTGTGCCACATATACATATATGTATGTAGGATTTTGATTTACTTGATGATAAGAGTCAATTTGACGATTTTCTCTTAATTACAAACTATGAAGAGTTTCACAATAAATGTCTACAATTTATATTATATTAATTAGATTATAGTATTATAAAGATTGATTTTAGTTACACCTATATTATTTATTTAATTGTACGCGAACGTGATCCTTTCAGGCGTTTCCGATCACCTCCCGCGATCTCCGTTCTACTTTTACTTTCTTTCCTTATCCTGTACGTCTTTTCTACTTGGCTATTGCCTTACAACTGCTTTATACCACTACCCAGAGAACACATAGACTAGATATCTAGAACAAATTTTTTCTACGACGGAAAAATGCGCTGAAGAGACCAGACAACTTCGTGTTTGCTTGGATAGGTATTTTGAAGCTCAAGCAGTAAAAATGAGGCACGACAAAATTAGTGCGCTGCGACCGCTGCCACGAAATGCATACGTTCCCAAAATTTTTCTGCCAGAGATGTTGTAACTTTTACGAATCCCACATGCATATAAATAAGCTTAATACATATTCATAAGACGGAAGGAATCATTTTTAGGAAATTTAAAAAATATAAAAGAAGCTAAAATAACAAAAATTTGCAATTTTCAAAAACAAGTAAGAAAGCTCTAGTCGAGACTGCCCGACTACGAGATCCCCTGAACCCTTCGAGGAACTGATATTTCAACAATTATTCACACATGCACACACACACGCACTCACACATCCATACGCTCGCAAGCATAAACACGCATTGGCTGCAGTGGTGGCTTACTATGGAAATTTAATTTTTTAATAACTTTATTTTTTGTGGATGGACTATCTTCATGAAACTTTCGGATTATAAATATAACATAGATATGAACGTATTGCCAAAGAATATGTCGCTAGTGTTTGAAATACGCCTTTTACAAATGTGAGTGTGAGGGGGTGAATATAGGGGTGGGGGGTAAATTTTGTACATACAGTGACGAACTAAATTATTGGCACAACTAGCTTTTTATACCCTGAACCCATTGAAAATGGGAAATCAGGGTATAATGCTTTTGTGAAAAGTATGTAACAGGCAGAA